GACACGTCCCTCAATAACCTTAACAAATTCCTCTTCATCCTTCTTCACAGATTCGCGGGTAACGTTACCGAGCTCGGCGTATTCTCCTATCTTGTTTGGAGGACGTGCACAGTAGGGGTTTCCATTCACATAGCAGATGGGCTCCTGGCGCATGTTCAACCAGATAATCTTGTTGGTCTTGGGATAGGTTTCACCGCAAGCCTTGTTGATGGCATTTTCAAATCCAGCAACAGTGGGCTGTCCACAGCAGTAGACTTTATATCCGGGAACCCTACGGAAATTGGGGACTCCTTCAATTTTCTCAGGGAGCTTCTGGATCTTTTCAAAATGATCGGCCATAGCCACAGCCTTCCATATTTCAGGATTATCTCCCATGTTGGAGTGAGGAGTTACTGGTGTTGTGTTCCTCGCTGAGCCAGCTAACTAGCACTGACTGAATCAGGGATACAATCCAAAGATCTAAGGACAACGAAGGACAGACAATGCTTTCCCTGGTGAGGTCAGGCCAGGCAGGTCAGCCTGCCAGCCAGCCTCGGTCAGATCAGCCTGACCGGTCAAACAAAGCTCCAGCCCAGTCCTGGACACAATTCAGGAAAAAATGTCCTTTCTCATTTTAACATTTTTCTCTCACTTCTACCCCCCCCCTCTCTACCTGAGTATCACCCGCCCCAATGCCCCCCCCTCTCCCTGTCAAATAACTATCTCCATTCTCAAATTCAAATACATAAAGTGTGTTATAAAAAAATAAAATCAAAAAAATGAAAAAAAGCGTTTTATGTTTATTCAAGAATAATTAGTTTAAAACCGTCAAGATTTCAGGGTCACATACCTAGGTTCAGCTCCGTAACAGGGCTTATCTATATGACGGAGCTACAACTATAGAGTTGAACCTGGTCCAAAATAGTAAAACTTGTAAAGAGGGGAACTACCTTCTTTTCTTTCTCTCATAGCTCAATACAATGACAGTATCAGAACAAATAAAGATTAAAGAAGAAATGAATTCTAAATCTAAATTACAAAACCTAAAATAATCACTTGAAAAGGAGTCAACAAAAGAAAGAATTTCAATCCCCCTTCTAATGCTGAATTCCTTCATTACTGCACTACATACTACCCAGATATCTTGAGAACTACAAAACTTATCATGATTGAATAAACTTTAATATAAGACGAGAAACACTATAAACCTAAAAAAGATAAACTATAAGATATGTTATTTTTTAATCCACTTTGAAACAACTAAATTGAATACAATGACATTACGTTTGCCAAATATAGAAAACATAATTTTGAAGTAACTTAAATACAATCATAGTTAGGAATAAAGAGAAATAATTTTCATGAAATTTAGAAAGGAGAAAAAGCTAGAGCATTTACGTTAAAGAACTATTTGTAACCTAATTGATTAATAGAACTAAAAACAACAACTTCAGATCTTGGGAATTATGAACTTAATAAATAACAATTTAATACCTTTAGAACTCAAGCAATCAAGAACTTAAGTATTTTATGACTAAAGAACCTTTTAACTCAAGAACTTTACAATTCAAAAACTTTAGAATTACAAATGAAATTTTATAACTTTAGAAATTTAAAACTCAAGAACTTTAGAAATCCAGAACTTTAGAATTCAAGAACTTTAGAAATCCAGAACTTCAGAACACACGAACTTTAGAAATCCAGAACTTTATAACACAAGAAACTATAGAACACAAGAACTTTAGAACACAAGAACTTTAAAACACAAGAACTTTAGAACACAAGAACTTTAGAACGCAAGAACCGTAGATAGAACACTAGAACTTTAGAACACAAGAACTTTAGAACACAATAACTTTAGATCTACATAACTTTAGAACTCAAGAACTTAAAAAATCCAGAACTTTGGAACACAAGAACTTTAGAACACAAGAACTTTAGAACACAAGAACTTTAGAACACAAGAACTTTAGAACACAAGAACTTTAGAAATCCAGAACTCTAGAACGCAAGAACTTTAGAAATCCAGAACTCTAGAACACAAGAACTCTAGAACTCTAGAAAACAAGAACTTTAGAACACAAGAACTTTAGAAATCCAGAACTCTAGAACACAAGAACTTTAGATCTACATAACTTTAGAACTCAAGAACTTTAGAGCTACAAATGAAACTTTAGAACTTTAGAACTCAAGAACACAAGAACTTTAGAACACAAGAACTTTAGAACACAAGAACTTTAGAAATCCAGAACTCTAGAACACAAGAACTTTAGAACACACGAAGTTTAGAACACAAGAACTTTAGAAATCCAGAACTTTAGATCTACATAACTTTAGAACTCAATAACTTTAGAACACAAGAACTTTAGAACACAAGAACTTTAGAACACAAGAACTTTAGAACACAAGAACTTCATAATTTAAAAACTTAATAACTCATAAACTTTATAATTGAAGAACTTTTATAACTGAAGAACTTTAGAACACAAAAACTTTAGAATTCAAGATCTTTAGAATTCAAGAACTTAAGAATTCAAGAACTTTAGAACACAAGAACTTAAAAACTTATACACTTTAGAATTCAAGAACTTTAGAACATAAACTTCTATGATTCAGGTAATTAACTTCAAGGTTTAAATAAAAGCTCCATGGTTTAGATAATAAACTTCATGGTTTGAATGAAAAACTTCGTAGTTTAATTGTAAAACTCCATGGTTTAAATTAAAAACTTAATGGTTTAATGTAAACCTCCATGGTTTAGATGACAAAATTCATAGCTCAGAATGAAGAGCTCGTGGTTTAGATGAAAAACTCCATGGTTCAGATGATAGACTCTAAGGTTCAGGTGAAAAACTCCAAGGTATAAATCTGAAAAACTTCAAGGTTCAAATGGAAAACTCTCTTCTTCAGGGGATAAACTCGGTTTAGGGAATAAACTCCAGGGTTTAAATAATAAAGTTATCGTTTAGGGAATAAACTCCACGGTTCTGCTGATAAAGATAAAGTCCAGGTCAATTATTCCAAAGTTAAGATGTTAAAATTCTAGAGTAAATCCATGGTTAAGATGATTAATGGTTTACATGAATAACTCTATGCTTTGGATGACTAACCCATGGTACAGATAAACATTAAGGTTTAGATGATAAACTCCATGCTTTAGATGATTCACACAATGGTAAACTCAAACTCATAAACCCAAACTCAAACCTTGGAGATAATCACCTGAATCATGGATTTCTTACCAAAACCTAGAAGTTAATCACATAACCCTTGGAATTTATCATCTAAACCTTGGAATTTATCACCTAAACCACGGATTTATCTATAAATATCCCATTTTAATAACCAAGGTTTCTCTTTTATCATATTCTATCAATTCCAATCGTGATTTATCTTTTTTATCCTGTTATATCAATATTCTATCAGTCCCAACCATGGTTTCTCTTTTACCCTATTGTATCAATTCCAACCTTGATTTCTCTTTCACCCTATTCTATCAATCCCAACCATGGTTTCTCTTTTACCCTATTTTATCAATCCCAACCATGGTTTCTCTTTTACCCTATTCTATCAATCCCAACCATGGTTTTTCTTTCACCTTATTCTATCAATCCCAACCTTGATTTCTCTTTTTCATCCAATTTAGTCAATCCCAACCATGGTTTCTCTTTTTATCCTATTTAGTCAATCCCAATCATGGTTTGCTCTTTTATCATTTCTATCAATCCCAACCATGGTTTCTCTTTTTTATCGTATTTAGTCAATCCCAATCATGGTTTCTCTTTTATCATTTCTATCATGAAAATCGAGAAAAACAAACATGAGTTGAACCTAATTCGTTACCCATCACAATTTTACTTTAACTTTATCTGGAAACCGGAAAAGGACCAAAAATATGCGGAAACGGATCGAAAAATAGAGGAAACTGAACAAGAAATGAAATTTGTTTACTTTTTCTGAAAAACAGAAACGGACCAAAAATATGCAGGAACGATTCGTAAAAAAGAGGCAACCCATTAACAGATCAGAAATCATAACTTTTTGCTGAAAATCGGAAACGGACCAAAAATATTTGGAAATAAAAATAACAGGAAACCGATCAACAAACTGAGAACTAGAATTTTTTTCTGAAAACCGGAAACGGACCAAAAAAAAATGCGGAAACCGTTCAAAATAAATGGGAAACGAATCAACTGTAAATATAGAGGAATCGGAAATCCCTCTTTTAGAGATTTCCGATAATTCTTGTTTTTGGTCCGTTTCCGCGTTGAGGCGTGTCCATAGGACCAATATTTCAGGAGTAGATTGCATTATTCTGTAACTTTCTTGGCAATAGTAAGATGAAGATTTGGGATTTATATTGCACTGATATTATCAGCAAGAAATGAGGTAAATTGCACTAATTTTTTGCAACACATCATGGGCCAGGGCGGAAATTGGAGTCTATGCCTTTTTTGGTTGTAAACCGCTCTTTTCCTTGCAAAACTGGGGTGTAAATAGTATTCAAGGGGGGTTACAAATATTTTCANCCCCCCCCCCCCGACTCAATTCCTAGAAAAGCCCTCGACTCTGACCCTCCAAGAGAAGATGATAATGCCTGAATCACAAAGTTACCATATAAAGCTTTGTCTGATCAAGCATATGAATTATATAATATATTTCAATGTTTATAATTTAATAGCTACAAAAAGTGACTTTCGCATTTCTACTGCAGGAAAACATAGAAATTAAACACGTAAACCCAAAAACGAAATAATCTTATATTATTGATCAGTTGAAGGTTTAAATCGGGCATTACCATCTTCGCATGTGGGGACACTTGAAGATACACTTAAGAGTTCCTTTAATTTCTGTAATTTGGATTATATGTAACATTGCAAGAATTAAACTATTTGAAGTGTAACATTGCCCCATATTATTATTAATAAAGAGTTTCATGAACATAATTGTCTAACAGAAAAATATAACAAAGAATAAACATTTACAATTAACTATCAAAAAGTGATTTAACTAACATTGTATCACTTTCATGTAAAAATATTTATTAGAACTTATTGTATAAAACAAAATAAATAAAATGTAAATATTATTCAGCAACAACAAAATGTTTAACGTAAACGTAGGTAAATGAAGCCATGAGAAACATGCAGTCACATCTGAAATAAACAATTCAAAAAACTTAATTCAGGGGAAGAAATTTCTTAACAGTGATTTGGCCCAGACCTAACACTAAGTGTCAGGCTTGGGACATAAGCACGGTTTGGCACTTTCTTCCCCTGTAATACCTAAAAATTTATCTGTGATGTAATAATATTATATGGATATTCTGATATACATTTTTGTAGTATTATAAATGGGATATGTCTTCATACAAACATTTGACTCTTTTCATTATTTTTGTTAGATATGACGATGTTTGTTGTTGGACGAGTTTGATTAACCGAAGTAATATTTCGGTCAGTATCATGTTTATAGATGTTTTCCTACCTACTCGTCCAGGATCTCCCCCCCCCCCCATGACACTAAGCTGTTTAAAGGGAAAATGATAAAAATGAATGAAATCTTTATGTAATGAATGTAATAAATATTTGATGCAGAGTTGGGCATCACTTTTTCCTGCGCATTGGGGAGGGGAGGGTTTAACGTGCTTCTCATAAAATGAAAAATATAAAATATTCTAAAATTGTAAAACTCGAATATTCAATACACAAGTTCAGAACTCCGGCAGGACCAGGGATAAAGACAACTACAGGGTGTCTCACTAAACATTACAGTTGGTCAATAGTTTTGAATGTCTTCTTCCACATACTGTATTAGATATCAAAGACTTTCTGCAGTTTATTTCTTAAAAAAAATGTGTTACTCTTACACTTAACTATGAAACCAATTTTACTATGATTTAACTGTCATATAAAAAATGTTATTAGTCTCTTCAGTATCAAACAACTTATCAAGTTATGGAAGAAGACATTTTAAACTATTCACCAGCTGTCATGTTTCGTGGGCCACCCTGTATCTCTCCAAAACTCCGCCATGACCAGGGATAAAGACAACTATCTGTCCTAAACACCGCCATGACAATTGATAAACATAAATAACCCGTCCTGAACTCCACCATGGCCAGGGATAGATATTACTATAACTGTCAAAAACTCCGCCATGACCAGGGATAAACACAAAATGTACCTGTCCAAAACTCCACCATGGCCAGGGATAAACAAAACTATACCTGTCCAAAACTCCGCCATGGCCAGAGATAAACACAACTATAACTGTCATAAATTCCGCCATGGCCAGGGATAAACACAACTATACCAGTCAAAAACTCCGCCATGACCAGAGATAAACACAACTATACCTGTCCAAAACTCCACCATGACCAGGGATAAACACAACTGTACCTGTCCAAAACTCCGCCATGGCCAGGGATAAACAAAACTATACCTGTCCAAAACTCCGCCATGGCCAGAGATAAACACAACGTACCTGTCCAAAACTCCACCATGACCAGGGATAAACACAACTGTACCTGTCCAAAACTCCGCCATGACCAGGAATAAAATTTCCAAAATTTTTTTTGTTACAAGCTCGTTTGAAGCCGCTACACAGGAACCCTGAAAACAGACCAAAAACTTAACAAAAAAGTTCTTTTTGGGAGTTGAATGCCTCCCAATCTTCGAAAACAATTTTTCTAAAAAAATATTAATTCTTGTATGAGCTGAAGTTGTTGCACCTGCAGTAGGTCCGAAGGTGCTAGCGAATATACTGATTACTAGACAGTGCAGGATAAAGGGCGGTATACTACCAGAGTAAAGAGGATAGCTCAAGGGATCACATTCTAGTACTGATAATCCACCTGATACCAACCAGAATCAATAAATTGGGAATTTATCAGATTTGATACAGAGCTACCTAAAGGATGACAAAGGATGAGAGTGTAAAGACGACCTGACACTCTTAAAAATATGACGATCCCAAGATTTAATTAAATCTTCTTCTAGTCTTCTAATTGCTTAATAAATGATTTTCCCCCCAGAAGTTTATTTTTGGGTTTTATTCTCTGAATTGGGGAGAATCAATGATTTTTAGGGGAAAGTTTAAAAAAAAAATTATTGATGTCCAATTTTTCATTCCCCCCCATTATTAAAAATTCTTAAAAACATTATACAGAATACACCCCTGAAAACTAAAAAATAAATTCAAATTAAAAAAGTTAAATTGATTCTCTCCTGTTGGGCAGAGTATACTAGGAAACTGTAGAAGAAGAAATCCATAGGATGGACCTAACATTATTGTGAGTAGGCCTCCCCCGACATACCCTTCAACGGTCTTCTTAGGACTCACAACTATCAGAGACCTAAATTAATTTCACTTAGGCGTTAAAATTTGAAAATGACAGTTAGTTCTCCACAAAGGATGAGACTTCAATGACGACCTAATTTCTTTATATCTTAAAGATCTGAAGGTTGAATTTTGTCTTCCGGCATGAATATTTAAAATATGCAGTCCTGAATAAGAGTGGAACACACTCAGAGGCGTACACAGAGGGAGGGGGACTATGGGGATCATTCCCCCTGGATCAGTAAAATCGATGGTTTCCAGGCGCCAAAAGGTGCTGAGCAACCCCATGGAAAGTAAAAATATGTGAGCCTCCCCCTCCCTGGACAAATTCCTGTGTACGCCCCTATACAACCCTTCAGTTGCAAGAAAACGTGAACATATTAAAGACTTAAAAATTCCGAACAGCTGTCTTTGCAGATTTATTCTTATTAGATATACCCTGCACTTAAAAGCCTATATTCCAATTCATCATTATAAATGTTTTTGTACATCTATTTGCATGTTTATGTACCTGGAGCCGAAGAAGAAACCACACATATATGCAGAGATGTCGTTGATTGTTATTATTGACATTGCAAAAATGTACCAAACCATGCCTGAAAAAGGAAATCAATTAAGTATGACGCAATACTTTATTGCTTCTTTCAAACAGTAAAGCTGCAGAGCAGGGGTATATCTTTTTAAGAATGAGAATGATTTTTAAGATCTGGAAGAAAGAAAAGATAAACTTGACATCAAAGGCAATTTTTTCGTCCCTTTTTAAAAGTTTATACAGAAAAATTTATTTCTTTTACCCAATTCAGCGAAAAAAAATATAAAAAAGGGGGAGGTAATTCAAAATTATAAATCACTGCTGAAATATAAGATATTGAAAGCAACTGATCAATAAACCAATTTAAGTTTTCCTACCATGGGATACTGAAGTTCTTATGAGCTAAAGAAACCACGTCAGTTAATCAATTTCATTATTCCTTCCATGTTTTAGTGTGTGTAGAATTGGGACAACAAATCAAACAATCAATTTAAGTATTTCTACCATGTTTTAGTGTATGTAGAATTGAGACAACAAATCAATCAAACAATTAAAATATTCCTACCAGGCTGAAATGTCAAAAGAACTGAGACAACAAATCAATTAAGCAATTAAAGTATTCCTACCATGTTGTAGTGAATGATGAAATAGCACAAGAAATCGATCAATAAATTAAAGTAATCCTACCATGCTGAAGTATGTGAAGAACTAGAGACAACAAATCAATAAATCAAATAAATTACAGTATTCCTACCATGCTGAAGTGTGTGAAGAACTAAGACAGACAACAAATCAATAAATCAAATAAATTAAAGTACTCTTACGATGCTGAAGTATGTGAAGAACTAGAGACAACAAATCAATAAATTAAATAAATTACAGTATTCCTACCATGCTGAAGTGTGTGAAGAACAGAGAAAACAAATCAATAAATAAAATAAATTAAAGTATTCCTACCATGTTGAAGTGTGTGAAGAACTAGAGAAAACAAATCAATCAACCAAATAAATTACAGTATTCCTACCATGTTGAAGTGTGTGAAGAACTAAGACAACAAATCAATCAATCAATCAAAGTATTCCTACCATGCTGAAGTGTGTGTGAAGAACTAAGACAACAAACAATCAATCCAATGAATTAAAGTATTCCTACCATGCTGAAGTGTGTGTGAAGAACAGAGACAAAAAATCAATAAATCAAATAAATTACAGTATTCCTACCATGCTGAAGTGTGTGTGAAGAACTAAGACAACAAACAATCAATCCAATGAATTAAAGTATTCCTACCATGCTGAAGTGTGTGTGAAGAACAGAGACAAAAAATCAATAAATCAAATAAATTACAGTATTCCTACCATGCTGAAGTGTGTGAAGAACAGAGACAACAAATCAATAAATCAAATAAACTAAAGTATTCCTACCATGCTGAAGTGTGTGAAGAACAGAGACAATAAATCAATAAATCAAATAAATCAAAGTATGCCTACCATGCTGAAGTGTATGAAGAACTAGAGATGCCTGGAAAGCTGTGAAGAGGATGAGAAGATGAGTCCAGGCAAAGTGACAATATTTAATCAGACATTTAGATGCATCCTTCATGCTCAGGAGAAACCATACAATCAGGAGAAGGTAGGTTAGAAAGCACATTGGCTCTTTAAAGCGATCTAGATTATAATTGATTAAAAATCCGACATTTTCTTATGATATTTAAATAAATAAAAAAAATGTTAAAGCTTGAATACCTAGAGATGCTGGGGAATATTTTGCTACTATTGGATTAGTCCAAAAGATATTTGCCAGAAGAAGAAGCTGCCAGGACCAGACTCTCAAATCCTCGCTCTAAGCTCAAAAACTAAATCTCAAATCCAGGGCAAATAATTTATTTCAAGAGCAAGAAATATTTTGCCAGATAATATTTTTTTCTAATCCAACCTACAATTGTTAAAAATATATTTTGAACTTTCCTTTGTGAACAAAATTGCAGTTTCCATTGCCTCGTGAAACGATACAATCTAGAATATAATAAATTTTTTCTTACAATAAATTGAATACATATCATAAATAGAATATTTCACCCTCGACCTCATATGCAAATTTCAATTCCCTTTTCATCCTGTCTTCTCCAAAATCTTTTTTAATCATTCCTCTCCACCCCTTTCTTCGTCTACATTGAGACTGCAACTTACCTGTACTAGATATGTGAGAAGGAGGAGACCTATTGGACCCATCCTTACCACCAGGTAGAAACTGGACATCAGGATAAACCCTTAAAACATAAAACCATGACAGGGATATATATTTTGTGAAAATTATTACACCCCACTAAGAGAATTAACCCCCCCCCCCCCCCCCCAATATAAATGTAAATATAAATGTTTGCCGAGTTAGGGGTAAAATAAATTTTATTGTTAAGGAAGATGTCCAATTTTTCATTTTCCCTAAACTCCTAAAATGTCTTGATAATGTTTTTTTTCAGTTTTTTACACATGCAAGCTTGGGATACTGAGTTAAAGGAGAAGAAAGAGACTCTACATTGGCTGAATTTGATTTTAAAAAATCTATTAAATAAATCGTAAATTCCTAACCTGATTGAACTCTGAGTAACCAGGACTGCCATCTTGAAGATAATCTTGAAATGTTTCCAAATAGAAACTTCGAGTTCAGATTCTCATTCTCAACAGTCTTGGACTTGTGCTCTTCTTCAGGCATGTCTGATTATGTCTATTGTATTTGTCTACTGTTTAGTTTACTCTCCGGAGTCAAGAGAGTATATTGTATCAGAGCAGATATCAAATCATAACCATTATGAATTAATTATTGTAAAAACTCTTTAATATGTTTTCATATTATTAAATATTTTTTTTCTGAAAAATCATGCTTCAGTTTCTGTGTAAAAATCTCAAAACATAATTTCGAGAAAATAAAAAGCAGATAATTATTCCAGGGCTAAAGAAGATTATTTAGCAAACTATGGCAGCCAGACTTATGTTATACAGCACACCCCTAGCCTAAAACTAACAGTCATTAGTAACATTTTAATTCAACTCATCGTTTAACTGTACTGCCAAATGTACAGTGCACAGCTTGAATTTTTATTTCCTTTGCTTACAAATGTAACATCACTAATTAACTGTAATTTATAACTTGACGTGCAGCAGTGTTTGTTATCATGTTTTATTAACGCCATATATGTGACTCATTTGCAAACAAGGTATGACGCTTTCTAATTGACAAATTTTCAGACCGAATTCAAGCAAAGTTTAAAAGCAATATTTTGTTCTACAATTGAAATAATTTTCGAGAAAAAATCATCAAAAAAATCAGCAACTTGGACATTATTTATGAACGAGTTATTTAATTGTCAAAAATCAAATTTTTCCGGTCCACAGGCTCAAATGAGAGGTTTTTATCAATCTAAAATTTTCATAAATTTTCCTTAAATTTCATTAATAATTGTCTTCTCCAATAGTTGAGAATTTTCACTGAAAATAAAAAAAATCCCCTAATTAGTCGTCTTCTATGTTTATTTTAACCACCAAAACATAAAGCCGAAGAAACTTTATAATCTTCTGCGGCATCCAACCGCTTATTTAGACTCACAACGTTTGTTTCGGCGGCGGCGATAATTTAATAATTTTATTAAACTTTGATGCAGTGAAAGAGGTAGCAAGAAAATCCTAGCCGCATCGGTCGTCCAACAGATTTTCTTATCTTACATTTTTGTTTCAGTTATGAAATATATGTCCTTAATTTAAATAGTACTACAGAGCGTCCCATATCATTAGATTATATCCAATCTTTAACGCCAAAATTCGCACATAATACTCACAAAACCTAGCATTTTCTGCGACACTTTTTTCTATTAGCCGAATTAGCCTTATTAAAGTTTTCAAAATGATTCAGTATATTCCTAGAGAACCCCCCCTTGTACATAGATCTTACAGAAAGTGTTTAACTTAACCTAACCTGTGGCCGTAGCGCTCGGCCCCCTAGCCCATCCTAGCCGCAGTGCTCGGCCCAGAAAGTGTCTTAACCTAACCTAACCCTAAATAATGCTAAATAAATACCAATTTGGTCATGTACAAAATTGANGGGGGGGGGGGGTCCAAAAATCGTTCACTAGGACAGACCCAATTTTTCATTCTTCTTAAAATTCTTGATTTGTCCCCAAAATCGTAATTTAGACCCATTGACGCGGTCTAATTTGATGTGGGACACCCTGTATATCATGAAGCATTGTGTTATAAGAAATGACTGATTTCTCTTTGCATCTACCTTCCATGCGATACTAAATGCTTAAGAAGAAATAAGAGTTTTTAGGTCTGTCCTAGTGAACGATTTTTGGACCCCCCCTCCTATCAATTTTGTACAAGACGAAATTAGTAAATTATTATTTATTTATTATTAACTATTGAGGTTTAGGTTAGGTAAAGACACTTTCTGGGCCGAGCGCTGTGGCTAGGATAGGCTAGGGGGCCGAGCGCTGCGGCCACATGACCAATGATATCCATGTTCAAAATTGATATGAGGGGGGGAGGGGGGCCAAAAATCGTTCTCTTGGAAGTTACCTATGTTTCAATTTAGTTTTGTCAGTTTTCTAGGATTATTGATTTATTTCTATGTGCTTGTTACTGGTACTGGATAGCATCACGATGTAATCATTACAAAATCAATGCATCGGTTGTTTTTGTATAAACGCAATATTTATTGTTTTATTTTGCAGATCAATTTAAATTCAAACATGTCAGACCTCTCTACTTGGGTGAGTGACCGATTACACGACATGCTTGATATTTCGGACAGAAATATTGCGGATTTTCTGTTGGGACTGTGCAAAAAATCCGCAAGCCCCGAAGTATTTCTGGAGAAGATTCGGGAAACTGAAACTATTGATATAAATGATACGGTTAAAAGCTTTTCTGTCGAGTTATGGGGAAAAATTCCCCGTGAAGCGTCTGCGGGGGAAAAAAGGAAACTAGAAAACAGGTATTGGAAACAATCATATCAGGACATAAAAGTTATTGAAATGTTAAAGTTAATGAGGCGCATCTATAGGGAG